TTATTATTATTATTATTTGGAATTAGGCCACTTTGGAATTGGATCGAACTGTATCTAAACTTTCTTTGACTCATTTGTGGAGGTGCACTTTCGTTTTTTTCGTTACTAGCAAAGGGAATTTTATGAACAAAGATTTCACATTAGGAGTCTTGCCTTCCTATCATTTCGCTTCGTTTGAAAAATTCTTCTCAGACTAGGAAAATACAGTATGAGATTGTTTGGCAGAGCTTTTGAAAAGTTAAAAGTTATTTTTGGCACTAATTAGCCTTTTTTGAACAAATTAAGATATTTTTTAAACGTATTTTGTAGGTTAGATGAGCTTTTAGAAGAAACTGTCATAAGGTACTTTCTTTAGAAAATTCTTGTATAAGAAAATAGAAGCATAAACAGAAATTAAATGAAACGAGCCCTGTGTATAATTCTGGAACAATAGGATATCATGACTCGTACTCTTGTTGCACCTCTACTCTTCCTCGTCTTTTTGTTTTTTGAGATGCCGAATTTAAAAAACAAAAACAATCTAGGTCCTGTTTAAATTTCATTCCAATTCTGTCGCTAGTCTTACCTAATACTGCTATGTTAGACATTATATAATGTTAGGAGACGAAAATAGAATTTCGGTCGAAGGACATCACTATCTTGCCAAATATAACATTTTACCATGTGTTAAAATTTGAAATAAAATGATAGTTCGAAAAAAAGAAAAAGGGAAGAATCATAAAATAATAAGGTGCTTTCTTAGGGGAAAAAAATACTAAAGAAACCTTGACAATTTAAAACATCAAAAGAAGAAATTTCACGTTGTTCTCGAGTTGAACTTTGAATATCGAAAGCCCTACCAACCTGCACTACAAATAGAAAAGGTGCTTTGAAAACCTAATTTACTTCGAGTACATTGGATGTCAATTTAACAAAGTTTTAACAAAGTAACTTCAAAAGGACGTTAAAAGGGGGATAACAATATTTAGCCTCAGTTTGAGTCACATTAAAATTTTCATTTTCATTCTTCTACTCATTTTCAACTGCACATTCTTTAATAAAATAATATTTTTTATTACATCAATAACATTTTTTTTTTCTTTTTCAACCATACATTTTCTACTAATATACTGTTCCAAAATACATTCTTCCAAAATAATGTGACTCAAACACACCGTTATAGTTGAACAGAATTTTGTCGTGTCAAGTATTAACTTTACATAATCAAGATGTTGAACATCAACAATAACGAGCATAAATACTCATTTTCCTATAGTCAGAAGTTCTCATTGTTTAAGAATCGAGATCTCCAAATTCGAGACACGAGAATAGTCGGTAGTTTAATAAAAACGAAATATGTTAGTGAAGACATAATTAAATCACCAAACTATGCTATTAGTTTAGTGATTTTTAATTGTAAATTAACTATGGACTTGTCTAATCATTTCCAGACCATACAATAATTGAGCAATTAAAATATGAGAAAGGAAAATTTGCACTTTCGTCCCCAATTTATATAAAATATTATTAATCGAGAGTATATTTTGATAGGTTAAAAAGTCGTGAGATCCACAAAATTTGTGAATAAAATTAATTATTGATTTTGACTTACAAAACAGAAGCTTAATATCATACACACTCGAACATTTTTTCTTGGACCCTATAAATACCA